GAATCTCGTATAAGTGATTTCCTTATGTGGCAGGTAGAGTTTTATTGTTGAAATAAAAGCCTTACACGATTTTCATAATTATTTCTTTTCAGTTAAAATATACTGTATTGTATTTTGCCAAAATATTTTGGCCAGAGATAACTCTTTGGCATTTTCTGGCTGGTATATTTTCCTATCAACGAGCTAGTGTACACTTGGAACCTTTTAAACGAAAACAAAGCACTAAATATGCAATAACTAAGATGAATACTTTGAGCATGAATCGTGTTCAATTGTTTTTAAAACAGTTAGATATTTATAGGGCAGAACTCTTATCAAAGTTACGAAACAAAACGTTTTAATGCGTTTAGATGTAAATGAGTGATGCCCGTTATTGTACCAAAGCTTTCTTTCTGTAGTAAATAAACTGCTATTATATAAGTATTTGAAATTATTTCTGTTATTAGCATCGAACAAAATTGATTACTTAAATTCTATTGTTGGGAAATGACTTTGATAGACTTAATCAAAAATCCGTATTATATTTTTAAAAAATATTATTTAATCAAACAATTTATTCGCGAAATATGAAAGAAATGGAAAGTTATCCATAAATCCAATCTCTCAATTGTACATAAAAAATTCTACTTTTTAATTTGGTAGTATTGCCTAACTCCTAAAACTATGTGGGCTACATGAAAATTCGTTCATTATATTTATATAGCTGCATTAGGGAAAAATTAAATTTCTGAATATGCTAGCTTTAATTAATTATTAGATCTACGTCCAAAAAAGACGAAAGAAGTGCCACTCTATATTCTTAACTCTGTTCATTAGACATGACAGCATTCAACTTAACAGTATTTAAGTTCACATTGATAACATTTCGGTGGTTGTATATCGAAGTCTTCATTTCAAGTGTTTAAAATCGCTTTTTGCAATTTTTTTCCAATTTTTATTCCTATATAGTTTGTTATGGTATTATTTTATAGTTATACCTATATATAACTTAAATGTTGCAATAGCTGTAATAAATCGATAAAATTAGTGTGGCTATCATACCTAACTACAACCGTTTCACAAGATTATCTCCAGCTTCGAGTACTAACTTATATTCATCTTTATAACTACCATAATATATGGAATATAATTTTTTTTTATATGTTGGAATATAATTTTCTTACAAAACTTGTTAGATTTACTGAAATAGGAAAAGAAAATATCGGAATACGTATATATATTATTATTATTATTATTTTAATTTTAGACTAATGAATTGAATTCTTAGACTAAAAAAAGAGGCATTGAGCACTAGCAAACGTATATATAAAATTCCCCTTTGTAGGGTAATTATATCTTTGAATGTAAAAGCAAATGCAATTGTGGCAACACAATTACCATAAAAGTTCGACTAGAATAGGAAAATTAGTTTCGTATCATTTTTCTTATAAATTGCTTTCAGAACTAATCTAAATCCGTTCCTGTTTCATTCATATTTGTGTAAGTACAGATATTATACTTGCAGCTCTAATACTCTCTCGGTCTGCTCCGTCCGTCGAGGTACTTTATATTAATCAAGTCATTCTCTGGTTCTTTTGCTTTTGGTACACTTTGGCGAGCCATCTGTACTACGCCATACAGGATGCGCATAAAGTTCTCTTAAAATGTTGTAAATCGCAATTAAAAGAGAAGTTTGAAGAATATACTGGAAACGGGTGATGTTTTTTAGATGAATAATTTAGTTTGTAAATTGGCTTAAAACAATGTCTGAAATCTTATTAATAACTAACGATCATTACTTGTCTGTAAGAGGGCGAGTCGTGAAGGCAAAAGATAATTTCTTACGGGATAAATATAATTCTCGATAAAAGTGTGTGGCAATCACAGCAATGCCATGCTGAGTTCAAAACTGACTAACTGAAGTTGTTCTAAAAATGTTATCATTTCAGATTAAACATAAAAAAATTAATGTCGGCGACTGCCATGATATTGTTCTTCTATCTAAGCCCAGTTTAGACGTAATCCTAGAATTGATGATGAGCGTAAGTGGATTTTACCACCAGACACGTTTCTAGGGGAGCAAGCAATTACGCCGATTGCTTATGTGTGGTTACTATATCATATAAAAAAATGAAAATCATCTGAGAAAAGAAGCAAAGCAGTACTGCAAGTGTTGATTTTGGGCCAAATTTAAATTAATAACGTCAAGACAGCAACGCTAAGTGGAGTTTGAACAATAAAGGTAATGCCTGTCGAAGATTTACGAAAATTTATTCTTCTAGGTCTTCCTATTTTCAGATAAAAGTGTTCAAAATTTTGTGGAGAAGACTAAAAGTTAGGAACATTCGCGTCGATAACGAAACACCTTTACATTGCGCTGCCCAACATGGATAATGTAGTCGATGGCATGATCCGCAATTGTGCAATATAAGCTTAAGTACGATCCAGTACTTTTTTATATTTTTCTACTGTGACTGACTATTCAACTACTCGTTTCTCACTGGTGCATAAAAAGCTATGGATAAATTGTTGAGCTTTGCATTATCGATAATCTTCACAAAAATTCAGCAGTTAGCAGATGCATTTTCTGCAACGAAAAATTTTTCTCCTGCCGTTTCATCGACATACGTAACGTAAAGTTTGCCGGCAACTTCCAGGTAACCTTTTTGCATTTACTTTTCAGTTGCAATATAGTATTAAGTTCGATTAGATTCACCTATTACAAAAATGCCCACAAATTTCTAGTTAAATTATTATCAAGAAGTGTTAGTTATTTGTGTATAAACTTAAGAATATTTTAAAAATAGCATCATAAAGGTTTATAAATAATTCTCACATGTGATGAAAATTCATATCGACTTACGCTAAGTATTTGAAGTAATCAATATTTTGTTTTCATTTTATGTACGTTAGTTACGCATTCGCTAATTTATAAGCGAACGTAATGTTTTCGATTCCGTAACAAGTAGGCGAATTGTTAGGGAGCTGTCTTTTAATTTGACTAAAGAAAGATGTAGAAATTTGTATTCAAAGATTACCGTTGCAGTTTACGATGGCTATTGCAACACGAAAATATGAATTTTGTTAACTGGCATCACATATAAGCGATGAAGTGATCCACAAAGTTTATTTTCGAGCTTACACGACTCAAACATTTTAAAATATGTGACACCCCGCGATTTTTCATAAGGAGCAACTTCTAAAGTATAAACATGTGTTGTAGCATATACGTTTGTCCTTCATCAGAATGGTAGTAGATATGAACCTTCTAAGAAATAACGACTCATTTCCGAAAGAGTCTTATTGACTCCTTCAGTCGCAAGGTTATACATCTTACCTAAAATTGTGTTGTTTCCAAAGTATTCAAAAAAGAGAAGATTTCTCTCCTAATGAATATTTACCCTGTTTTTAAAGCATTTTGTAATTTTAAATTTACTCTTTGGCACAAAGCCAAAAAAAGTAACGACGCTTGTTAGTTTAGAGGAAGAAGGTAATATACTTAGTGACCGGGTGTCCAATTTACAAAGCATTTAAATGTCAAGCAAACTTTGAGGCACATAAATCCACTTGTGTAAGTCCTAATTTCAACACGACTCTCCGAACGACGATATTTCCTTCTTGTGTATGTCCCCCATGACTTTGTCTGTATTGTGGAGGTTGGGGTTTTGCGATTCTTGGTACGTAGTTAGCGCAATGACGGTGGACCATCTTAATTTCGCTTTCCTAACATTCTACTCACGATCAGGCCCACACTTGGCATCCGCGTTACCATGAGGTTTGACGTTCCGTCTTTTCGTCGCTTTTGAGTTTTTGTACTGCCTGCTTTACAAGAAAGAGATAATTATTCTTTTCAGATTTCATGAACTTTGTCCATTTTTGCATAATTTTATGAACATTGGATGACATCGCGTGCCGTTGCTGTTCGATTTTCGCAGTCGTCTTCCTTATAGTTGTCGTCTTTAACAAACTTTTCTGTATACAAATAATGAAAAAAAGAGCAAGCAATCAAATCGCGTCCAATGTAATCTGGTTATTTCTGCCGCTTTATTCAATAGAAAATTCAAAACTGTTTAAGATGCACGTTGCCTTCAATTTGAAGAATACAGTTGGGGCTTCCTGTTATTACTTGTCTAAGCTACATCAAAGTATTGTGTGCATTGATTGACAAAGCCAGTTCTAGTGCCCTTGCCTAATAACCAAGTGGTTAAGATTAGTTTAAAAATTCTCAAAGCTGTCATATGGTAGACCGCATGCTACCAAAAAGTAAAACAATTTCAACTATTTGATTTACAACATGTTTAGTGCAATTCACTTCAAGCAAATAGACATAAAGGAGGTACAAAAAATACCCTACGTTTCGTTGTTTTCAATGCGACGTTTCGCACCGCCATTTTCAATATCATCCGCGTGGTGCGATCTCTAATGTCAAACATAGTTTATTAGTCCTCGTTACAGTCGTTACTGTTAATATAAATAAATGGTTCTGCCGTCTAGGCGATGTATACCATGTTAAAGCGAGACTAAGTCTTTTTCTAAGTCATTTTTCGAAGTCTTACGGTGTGAAATTTTATTATGAATCTTCGTTTCAAGTGTACGTTTAAAAATTCAGTTAACGACAAGTTCTTACGAGAAAATAAAAAGAACAAAAAAAAAATGAAACAAACACTGTGATGAATTATAAGAATTAAAAAATATATTCAAAAAAGTTGTGTATCAACTTATTCTTAGCAACGTCAAAGAAAGTACCAAAATTTATGGTTACCGTTCAATGCTTTTTAATGCATTATGAAGATTTTTTGAGGAATTTCGTATGTTTATAACCAACCGAGCAGATAACCGTTCGCACAATGCCTCAGTTCGTCGCATATATCCTCCACGATTTTGCCCGGACTGTCGAGAAATCATAGTCGTCGAAAAAAAGGAAATTAAAAGTTGTACACAATCATAGGCAATTTTATGTAATTTGTACAAGATTGGAAGGAAAGAAATGCGTGCTGCTCTGTTCTTTCTGGTGACTTCTCGTAATTATTTATATAAACTTGTTTATTTATTTAATCCTTCCTCAAAGTGATGGCAACTCTAGTTTAACAAGAAAGAAATATAAATGTTCGCCGTCAACCGCATTAGTCGGTTAGTTTTCAACAAGTGCTTAGTATGGCTTGGGTATCTGATTACAAATATACCTGGTGTGAAAAGTTGGCTATGAATGTCATTAGATCAGGTGGTCATCTACCGGATCAC